TATTCCGTTAGAAATACCGTGACCTTACCCGTTCGAACATTCCCTTGATCTAAGACCGCGAATCTTACGAAATCCTGAGAATCTAGAACAGTGTATACTGTCTATGACCTTAGGACTACTTTGTGTGGTTTGATTGTGGTTTGTGCATTCTTTGACTGTTGTGTAAAGATGACAATTCATAACTTTGATTTGGGAATTTTTAATGGAAAGAGTGACTTTGCTATTTGACAACAAAAAATGAAGGACATTTTAGTCCAACAAAATGTTTCAAATGCCATTGAAGGCAATTTTTCAACTGCTTTTTCACAAGAACAAAAAGAAGAAGCCGATGAGCTTGCTTATACCTCAATCATTTTACACTTGTCTGACGCCGTTTTAAGAAAGGTGGGTAAACTGAAAACCACTAAAGAACTTTGGAAAAAATTAGAAGATTTGTATTTGCTTAAGTCTACACCGAATAAACTTTACTTGCTCGAACGGTTTTTCAGTTTCAAAATGGATCATTCAAAGGATCTTGATGACAATTTAGACGTTTATAACAAATTGGTGCAAGATATAATTAATTGTGATGAGACTGTTTCCGAAACTTATAAGGCTATAATTTTGCTCAATGCAATTCCTGATTCCTATAAGGAAGTTAAGAACGTCATTAAGTATGGTAGAGACACGTTGACACCTGAAATTATCATAGATTCCCTTAGAAGTAAAGAAATGGAAATTAGGGCTGAAAAACACGATAAGAAGAACGGTGAAGTACATATGATGTGGGATAGAACTCAATTTAGACAAAATAGTCATGATGGATATCAAACTAGTGGCGAGTCAAGTGGTAATGGATGGAAAAAAGAAGAGCAAAGGTAGGTCTAGATCAAAATCTAGGACTAAGGAGAGAAAATGCTATGGTTGTGGAAACACAAGGCATTTTATAAAGGATTGTCATAAGGAGAAGGGTAAGCTAAAGGTTAAGGAGAGAGATGAGGTCAATATATTAGCATCTACTTCCGATATAAATGGTGGTGAGGTCTATTTACAAGTCCCGTTGCGTACACTGCTGGATTAAATCTAACTGCTAATTCCCGCATGCATGAGTGGATACTTGACTCTGGTGCATCTTTTCATGTGACGTCTGAAAAGAATTGGTTTTATAAGTTGCATGAATCTAATGTTGGGCATGTTGTGCTGTGTGATAACTTTACCTACACTATTGCTGGAATTGGTGACGTAAACGTAAAATTTGACACAGGTTTTGTGTATACGTTAAAGGATGTTAGATATATTCCTGGGTTGTCTAGAAATCCAATCTCAGTAGGGAGACTTGAAAAGGATGACTTTACTGGTAAAATTGGAAATAGTATACTAAAAATGATCAAGGGTGCTTTAGTTTCCATTAAGAGAATTAAGAAAAACGATATATATTACTACTGGAGAAGTGATTAGAGATGTGAACCCCTCTATCTCCTCTGCCAAGATTGATTACACACACACATGGCATAATAGACTTGCTCACGTAGGGGTCAGGGGACTTAAGCTACTTAACAAAAAAGGTGCTTTTGGTAATGACTGTGTGTCAGATTTGCCATTTTGTGATCATTGTGTGCTTGGTAAGCATCATAAAACTTCTTTCTCCACGAGTATTAATAGAGCTAAAGGCATACTCAAATATGTGCACTCTGATCTGTGGGGTCCTGCTAGTAATCCCACATCGGGTGGGAACAGGTATTTCCTGTCTAATATCGATGACTACACTAGAAAAGTGCGGGTCTATCTTTTGAAGGATAAACCTGAGACCTTTAATAGTTTTAACAATTGGAAGAGACAAGTAGAAAACCAAACCGGCAAGAAAATCAAATTTTTAAGGACAGATAACAACCTAGGATTCTGTAATAAGGAATTTGATAGTATGTGTAAAGAAAGTGGCATAACTAGACATAAGACCGTTCCTTACACTCCTCAACAAAATAGGGTAGCAGAAAGGATGAATATGACCATACTTGATCAAGTACGTTGCATGATGATTAGTTCTGGTATTCCCAAGTCTTTTTGGGGTGAGGCTGTTATAACTGCTTGTTATTTAATTAATCTGACTCCTTCTGCTGCATTGAATGGTGACACTCCGCATGAGAGATGGTCGGGTAAACTGAGTGATTACTCGATGCTTAGAACTTTTGGCTGTACAGCTTTCTCTCATCAAAATGAGGGTAAGTTGGAACCTAGAGTTAGGAAGTGTGTCTTTCTAGGATGCCCCGAGGGTGTTAAGGGTTATAGGTTATCGGATAGAAGCCAAAAAGGAGTTAAGATCATTATAAGTAGAGATGTCACGTTTAACGAAAATGAGATGACGTGTGTTAAAGGGGAAACTGAACCTGAGAGTGAAGCTGAACCAGGTGAAGAGATAGACCAGTTTAAAGTGGAGTTAGGAAAACTCAGTCCACCTGCCCTACTGCTTCAAATGAGGTAGAGACTCAAGCTCAGGAACCGGAGGTGGAGAATAGTAACGAAATAGTGACAGAAGAGCAATATGAGGAAGAAAATCTTTTAGCTAACTATAACTTAGTTAGGGATAGAGAGAGGAGACAATCGAGAGAACCTAGAAGGTTCGATTTTGAATCTGAATTAGCTTTCGCCCAAGCTGGTTATGAAGAACTAGCTGATAAAGAGCCAAAGACCTTTGAAGAGGCAATAGGCAGTGATCAATCTAATGAATGGCTTAAGGCAGTGAAAGAAGAGATGAATTCTCTAGAAAAGAATCATCCTTGGGAGCTAGTACCTAGACCTAAGAATAAATCAATTGTTGATTGCAAATGGGTCTTTAAGGTTAAGGAAGGTACTAGCAACTCGGAACCCCTAAGGTTTAAAGTTAGGTTAGTAGCTAAAGACTATACACAGAAGGAGAGCGTTGGTTATAATGAAATTTTCTCACCAGTTGTTAAGTACACCACTATTAGGGTCATGCTCGCATTGGTTGCACACTTTGATTGGGAACTTGAACAACTTGACGTAAAAACTGCCTTTTTACATGGTGAGCTTGATGAACAAATTTTCATGAATCAACCAAAATGTTTTAAGGATAAGTCAAACCTGATTATGTGCGTTTTCTGAGAAGATCCTTGTATAGGTTAAAACAATCTTCTAGACAGTGGTACAAGAGGTTTGATTCCTTTGTACTGACTATAGGGTTCCAAAGAAGTAAATTTGATCACTGCTTGTATTTTCAGCACAATGAGACTGCTGATAATTTTCTATTTTTGTTGCTCTATGTGGACGACATGTTTTTGATTGGATCATTCTCTAAGTAGATAAATAACATAAAAGCAAAACTAAGTAGTGAATTTGACATGAAAGACCTACGTAAGGTTAAGAGAATCTTAGGTATTGAAATCGAAAGAGATATGTCAAATTCTGTTTTGTTTTTGCATCAGTCTCCATACATATCCAAAGTATTGAAAAAATTTAATATGAGTGATTATAAACCTGTCAAGTTGCCTCTTGCTAATCATTTTATTTTATCGAAGGAACAATCCCCTTGCAATGAGCGTGAAGTAGAATACATGAATAGAGTGCCTTACTCCAATGTGATTGGTTCCATAATGTTTTTGATGGTTTGCACTAGACCGGTTTTAAGTTTTGCTGTTAGTACTCTCAGTAGATATATAGCTAATCCGGGCCCTGAACATTAGGAAACGCTAAAGTGGCTATTAAAGTACTTGAAGGGTACAAGTGACGTAGGTTTAAAGTTTAGTGCTAGTAAAGAAAGTAGAAAATTAAAGGGTTTTGTAGATGCTGACTACGCGGGAGATAAGGATGGTAGGAAATCTACTTCGTCTTACGTGTTTACCTTATCTAATTCATGTGTTAGTTGGAAATCACAGTTACAACATACTGTTGCACTATCCACTACAGAATCAGAATATATTGCCACCACTGAAACTATTAAAGAAGCTCTATGGCTTAGAGGCCTTCTTCATGAACTATGTGTCTTGAATGATTATGTGGTAGTGTATTCTAATAGTCAGTCATCTATGCATTTATGCAAGAACCCTGTTCTTCACGAGCGCACTAAACACATTGATGTTAGACTCCACTTCATTAGAGATATAGTATCTCAAGAGGTGGTAAGACTTGAAAATGTCCACACCCACTACAACCCCTCTGATATGGGGACGAAGGTATTGCCACTGGCAAAGTTTAGAAGTTGCAAGGAACTTCTAAACATTGGTACAAGTAAATGATTTCCAATTTTATCGATTTTCTATTAGAGGTGTCACTAATGGGAGACATTTTTCTTTTACAGGTCCTTTGACACCAAGGTGGAGGTTGTTAGGCAATTTGTTGTCAAACAACCCCCCGAGCTATGATGTACTCCCGGTTCTATTATCGATCGGCTTTGGTCATATGATTGATTAGTATATCGACACAATTATCGAGACAACCCAATCCACATTCCTATGGACCATTAGAAGCAACCTATTGTTAATAGTGTTGCTTACGATTCGTCCCATTTCCTTGGAGGTCTATGTTATTAATTTGAAGCCCATTATTTTTTAGTCGAGCCTTGTTCGGTCCACTAAATAACCCTAACCTAACTTACCTTGTTTGGTTATTTGCTTGGCTTATATTCTTGGCCTTGCTCTCGGCCTCCACATGAAGAATGCCCAATCTCTCTCTGTGATTTTCTCCTCTCGATTTCTCCTCTTCTATATAACCTTTGTGGTTCTTTTTTAGTGGGCATATTATTGTTCTTCATCTTGTCCAACTAATAGCAACCGGAAGTGGGAACTTGGTGGTGGTGGTTTGGAGTTGTCTCAACCCGTTGGTGGTGTCGACTTATTTGGTGAAACTGAGCCCGGTGTACCTTGGTGTTTGCTGAAACTTGGCCCTACAGAAGCCAACATGGACACAACGAGATGCATATAAGCGCCCAAATCAAAAGGAAACGATCGAATAATGAACACTGAACAATCTTAAAACTTTGAGTACTCCATGGGGGAAATATTTAAGAAGAACTCGCGACGAAAGCTATGCAGAAAAGCTCTGCACAAATGGTTCATATGATGAAATAATACACTTATATAAGCGTCTGTTTGACAGTATTAATAAATTCAGTTAGCAAAACATACGACCTTATTTTGCCTGCAAGAATTAGAATTCCGCCTGAAAAAAAAAGAAAAAGAAAAAAGAAAAACATTTCTTGAATTATCTTTGCCCGCACAACTTTTTCAGATGTTTTTCTTGTGAAGGAAGAGCTCCTTGGATTCTAGCCAGTCGACAAGACTGCTCCGTAAATAGCTGATACGTCGATGGTCTTTTCCATGGAACAATCCCGAACTCATCGTTAAACTCTTCCATCCCTTCGACCAGAAACTGCCATACCAAAGTCCCTGCTCCAGACTTGTTCCGTTTAGCAGATTTGTATGAGATATCAAGAATCACTTTGTAGAATCTCTCGCGCAGAGAGGGGTCAAAATCTAGGTCTTCGTTAGATAAACCGAATTCAGTGAACATTATGGGCTTTTTTAGATCTTTGTCACCGTCTTCGATGTGAGAGATCATCCACTTGGAGACGAATCTTAGGTTATATTCGAAATTCTGAACATGAGACCTACCAAATGAAAACGATTGGATTATTCAAACTAATATGGCAAATTACGCGATAATTAAATGTGTAAGTGGTTATGTAAATCGATAAACAGCATACCAATGGTCAGGGTAAATATGAACAGATGCAAAATCAATAGTTGAGATCATTGAGTTTCGTGTAAAATCAGACCCAAGATCAGCTGCCCAGAACTCTGGATTGAAGCTTAACCTTTTCGAATTTTTAGGACCGTAGAATCCTTCAAGACCCACAGTCAGTAGATGGTTCCGGTCAATTGATTTCACAAAATAAGACATTTCTTCTATCCAATCCTGCAATCGTATGAGATACAGTTCATAAAGATCCATTGTCAGCAGATGGTTATGTCTAAGCATTATGCATGTAAATATAATAAACACTCATTTTTCTGATAGGACCCTGAGAAGTTTATAAAGAGATGTATCATCTGATAAATGTGAGTGAGACAGAGTTACATGTTTTATAAGGTTTGAGTTGACGTAACTTGATGAACTCTATAATTGACTGTAAGCATATACGGGAAATATTAGCCATTGCAAGACACACATTCTCCATTTTATAGGAAAAAGAGAAGACGAGAGATGAAATCTGTCACCATTAACGGGCAAAATCAGCAATGTCAACTTGCCAAAACATCCCAAAAGTGGCTCATAATTGGAACAATGGCGTACCGTCTTACCGTTGATGTTGATATTTTTAGTGTAAACACAAATGATACGGTTCAGCACGGCAGCGTATTGTCAATTATTGGATGTAATTACAATGCTTTGTAAAATGTTTTGAATCCAAAGTTCTATTCAGTCAAGTCTAAAAGAACAGGCATATATTGCATGGTTTTTTTAGTATAACATCAGAGTTGAAATGGTGTAAGAAGTTTAAAACTTACTTGGAGAGTGTCACCAGAAGGATCAGTCAAGCAGCGGGGTTCATTAATTAACTCCCATGCAAAGATAGTTGGGTCGTCCCTGTACTCAATCCCAGTGATAGTATTTTTTCTTGTTAGCACTGTCTGCCAAATAGGAAGATACAAAGCAAGATTAAATTGCGATTGGAAATATAGACACTGCAGTATCAATGTATTGCCGATGAATCATGTATGGGTGCGAAATGAGAGAAAAGAATGACTTCATGGAATTTTGTGTGCAATCCTAGACAATGATTACGGTATAACAAAAAGAAGTTTTTCGACAACAATGATTACCAAAACTAGAGGGCAAATTTGTAAGTTTACCTTGACATAATTTTTGAAATAATGCCGAATTGATGGGTCGTAGAAGAATGAATCATTAGAAGAGCTTAAAGCAACACCCTCTTCCCATGCCCACTTAACATACTGAGTCTTTCCACCGTATGCTTGCAAATTATTAACCAAGCTTAGAATCAGCCTTATTCCCTGTTGATTGGCTTCCGCGATTACATAATCTAATGCCTGCATGTAGCATGTATAAGCATTGATAGAGACGTGCCCAATAAGTAAAATAGTAGTAGATGACTATCTCCAATGAATATATAGGAGTACAATCCAATACAGTATATACCAAACATGCCCATAATGTATCTCATCAAGAGCCTTGGCAGTTCTATAACTGGGTTATTGTTATCATTTATCAGTCACTAAAAAACGCACTTAATCAGGGAAAAAGACAAACAAGAGTCACATATGAGCCCACACAATCATACACCAGCCAATTGTTGAGCAGATGAATATTTTTTTGAACTTTCCTATGCTAAATGAACCAAATTGTGTGTGTGTGTGTGTGTTGGTTTCCCCTGGACAATTTTCACAATCAAGAACATCAAAACCTCGAGCCTCTCAGTATGCTTATCGTGAAAACTCAACCTAATACTCTTAAACCTGAAAATACACCTAAATTAGGAACACGTAAACAATGATCAATTATACTCTGGAAAAAAAAATTATCAGCCTGAATACTTTTCGTCAAATTTACAAGGGGAAATTTGGAATGCGTTGTATGCACAATCATTGCACCCTAGTTCCAATTAGAATAGCAAAACATCAGAAACACTAAACCAAACACACAGATTTATAGTGGTTCACCCTCAATACTTGTGCACAACAGATTTTCACAATCAAAAATATCAAAATCTCAAGCCTCCCAGTATATGTCTCGCAAACAACAACCTAATACCTTAAAGCGAAAATACACCTAAATTTAGGAACACCATAAGCAATGAGTGATTATACTCTGAACATAATTTTCTTACTCTGAATACTTTTTCATCAAATCTACCAGGGGAAATTTGGAGGGCATTGTATGCACCATCATTGAAAGCCCAGGTTCTACACACAGTGAGACCCATCTTAGCACCGGTTTGCAGCATTTCTCTGATTCTGGGTCTTCTTGATTCATCCACAGCATGGTCCATCATCCAGTAAGAATTCCACCCATTAAAGTAAAAAGGCCTACCATCCACTATGAACTGAGTCCCATTCCTCTTCACAAAACTGAAATTTGTTCTTCCATGGAGATTGAACCACAGATCCCCAAAAGACATGTACAAAAAAACTAAAAAAGAAGCAAAACCAATAGTAGCATACAACATCCCATTCCCTCCTAGGATTCTGCTTGACGGTGATTTATACATGATGGGCATGGAGTCGACTAAATAATATAGACAAGATTTTTAACTTTGTCCCGAGTAGAATACACTCTACCAAACAGGCTAGGAGTAAATGGAAGTGATTCTTGAGTACCCTAAAGCAATATATCAAGAAACTCTACAAACCCTATAGTACCAAGGTGAAATCTTTGAGGTAAAGATGAAAAATTAAAAACAAAATAACTGATTTCTAATATGGGTTTTTGGCACTAGGAATCTAATAACCTTCCAAAATCCTTGGATTGCAGATAGAAAGAAATAAACAAGAATTTTAGAATTATTCTACCCCAGAATTTTAAGGGCACGCCCCAGATCCCATTCTGCAAAAGGGTAAGTCAATTTCTTGAACACAACCAAGTACCAACTCCAAGTTACAAGAATCATAAATGAGGCTGCCTCCAAAACTGAAAAAATTAGGGGTGACCTGCAGTGTGTTTTTGTGCGAGTCTTGAAGTGAAAAAAAGAGGGCGACTGGTGAGACAAATGTAAAGAGAATCGAAGAAAGCAAGCCACAATATAGACCAATTCAAGATAACTGTAAAAAGAAATCCAGAATAAAATGGTGGAAAATTGGTATCAAATTATGCTAAATTAGATCTGAAATTCATGAATTTGACAGCTTTTCGAGATTTCACACTGTAGTAATGTGTAAGGTAAGGCATACTTGCTTCACTCGTGGGCCATTTTCTGACATAGGCTTTGTATCTTTTATCTTACCATCTTTCTTTGTTTTTTGGGTAAAAAGATAAATATTTTAATCAATTTTTAATGCCTTTTTTGATACCTTGATTGTTGATTTCACGAAAGAAAAATGGTGTACTAACTTGAAAGATTTTTTTGGCATATAATTTGGTGAAGAGTCGGTTAAACATCAGACAAAGAAGTCTCCCCTAAGATTTATTTCCCAGGAGTCTCCTCCCCATGTGAGGACTAACGTCAGGTAAACAGTGCACTTCTATTCGACTGTTCTTGTCATTATTAAACCATTGTTTGGGTCCTACTTTTTAATAAAATAAATTTTATTTTGATCATATTTTCTTACATTAAAATAATTTTAAACGTATTAAATCATATATTTTGAAACTTATTTTTAAAAAATCTTTACCTAGAAGGTACTAACATTATTGTACATAGCAAGTTCAATTTTTCTTTTGAAAGTTAAATTCAATTCGAGCATTAGATAGTAAGGCTGTCATTTAATGTCCCAATTGATAGAAAGCTTTTCAATTTTTTAAAATTATACATCTTTATCTTTATTTTTTAAAATGAAAATTGCCAGTGATTAATAATATTAAATAATAAAAGATTACTAATTGTGTATGGTTAGTAATATTAAAAATATAGATAGTTTATTAATAAATAAATTGATAAAAATATAAAAATTAATGACATGATTTAATTATGATCCTTTACTCTTTTAATTATGTTATAATTGTTTTCGAAAAAGTCCTTTTGACAATTTTACCTAAGGCCTTCAAATTACTTGGAGTCATATTTGTTGAGAGCAAACAAGTTCATAATTTTAATAAGCGGGAGACAAAAATATTTAAACATAAATCCTTTGCTTAGCTTGACCATGTTAACAGTGTCGTTTAAATTTTAAAGGAAGATGAAAAGGGGTTATATTCATGGTTACATTTGGTATTCATTTTTGGAGTTCTCGAATGGGTTTTGCGAAAATGACCAAATATAAGTGTATTTTCCTATTATGGATATATAATAACACAATACGTTTTCATGAATGACACGAGTAAATGGCATTTTTAATTCGGTAATAACAAAAAAAAAGAAAAAAAAAGGTTTTGTTTGATCATATGTGATCTCCTTTGTTGGAAATGATGACTTTATGATGAAACACTATTTCCTTAATTATTATGTCATATTTTTATAGTTGAAAATTCATTACACAACAATGAGTATCATCTTTGCAATAAAAATACATTTTTTAGAGTAATCAAAATCAACTTGTGTTTGGGGGGAGGGAGGGGGGGGTTAGATATAAGGTTTTATTAGAGCATACATAATGGGGAATATGATTAATTATTGATTGTCCCACAATTAGATAAAGGTAATGCTATTTAACATTATTAATATTAAAATATCAATACAGGTGACATTAATGTAACATTAATGAAAGAATTAATTTACTTGTACCAGATGTCTTACCTAATTTTTGATCGAATTGACAAGTGGCGCCCCTCCAATCCAATAAGGGCGCGACACTTGTCAATTCGGTCATCCATTTGGTAAATAATTTGGCACATATAGCATCTCCCTTAATGAAATGTATAATTAAATGAATTATTTAATTCTGCATTTCATTGAATTTATCATTTAGCGTCACCTAAATTGATGTTGTCTAAATAGCATTATTTATTGGACAAAGAAAAAAATAGGTTGAGCAATGAACCAGCTGGCTTCTGCATAATAAAATAAAAATTGGTGGTTCTAAAACTTGACTGCGGTATGTGTTTATTGTACAGTACAAAAAATTTCACTTTTAAACGATATGATTTTTTTGATGTAAATGTCATCGTGTAATGTCTTTGTCATTGTTGTATTTGGAGTGTTCCTATTCTATATGAAAAGATAAAAATACTTTTTCAAGAGTATGTTTTGGAGCAAGCGAGCAGTCAAACTGAAATTCATGCGTGATTTGCGAATTCACGAGTCATACTTTAGTATTTTCCGAGGCTGTCTAATTCACATTTTGGCTTCTTAGCCATTTGGTACAAAAAGTCTTTCCATGATCTTCTTTCATATTTATTCAGAGAAATCTGGTCGCCTCAATCGCTAGTAATTCACTAGATGATGACAATAACATTCCGACACCTTAAGATCTTTCTAAAGAAGTGATAACATCTCATACAATGCATGGACATCATCCAACATGGAAATGATAAATTTTATGTAAATAAATCTTTTCAAGGTAGGAGTCTCGCTGTGTTTGACAAAAGCTATTCATTTATTAAAATAATTTGAGAGATCATTAGTACATTGATATGACATGATAAGTCATAAGAACTTATGACATGCTCCAAGATTATATTCGACAAAGCCCAATTTGTCCAACTTACAAATGGAGAGATGATAAGATTTTGTAAAGATGAATTCATGCTTTATGATACTAAGATGGATCAAATTATAAATTTGGATTTCCAGATATACTATGAGGTAATTATTCATTTAAAAAGTTGATACAACTTTTCATGGCCCGCCTTGGGCTTCAAATTTTGAGGGGCCTCTTCATAAAAAAAAGGCAAAAAAAAAAAAAAAAAGCCCAAAAAAATCACTCCAATCCAAAACCCCTCAAATTCCTAAAATTGAGCAATGGGTAGATAAGAAAGATTCAAAGAAACAAACCGCCATTTTCTCCACGGCTCCAACAGACAACTATCTTCAAAAAAAAATCTCTCTATTCCATTAAACTCTCACTGAATATCTAAGGGTCTGTTTGATTGCAAAGATGGAATTTGGATGGAATGAAAATGAATTTTCAAGGAATTGAATTGCCTAGAAATTATGTTTTTAGGAATTGTAAATTATTGTGTTCGATTGGTAATTTTTCACGTGGAAAATGTTGAAATAAAATTATTTGTTGACGTTCGTTTGACTTTGTTTTATATGAAAATTGTCAATCAAAGTGATAGATTTTATTGGTATTGGAGATGAAATTTGTTTCCATTACCCAAAAAAAAAATTATTCAAAAAAATCATCTATTTTTTGGTATTCGTTTGATTTTATCTTATATTGAAATTGTCAATTAAAGGGAAATATTTTTTTTACAATAATTCTTATAATTTGTTTCCATTGCAAAAAAAAAAAATTAAAAAAAAATAAAAAAAAATGGCAACCTACCTAGGTGGGAATTGGTTTTCCTTAAAAACCAAGAAAACTCAATTTTTCAAGAAAACTAAGATAATGAAATCCATGGAAATTATTTGCTATCAAACATTACCAAAAAGTGGAAAATAGAAAAAAAATTCCATTTTCCACAGAATTGTTGCCCAATTAAACAGGGCCTAATTTTTTAGATACCCTTTATCTTTTCTTCATTATGTTTTCGTCAATCTCTTTTTTGTGATTTAAATTCCCTTTGCAAGAACCTGTTGAGTTTTAAAATCTGAATTCGACTTGCGCTTTTGCCTGAACGTGAGAACTGAGGTAATTCTGCAGATTAATTATTCTTATTCTGGCTTCATCAGATTTCAAATTAGAATTTCCCGTAATCCGTCCTAAATGCACTAATAATCTTTTCCTTCAGGTTGTTTTAGATATTTTCCGTTTGGCCGAGACATAATTTGTATGGATAACAAGGTGTTGAATCTATTCTGAAGAATGGGCAGATTATCTCTGCAGTATCCGTAAAGCTTAAATTGCTATTTTGTTTACTTCAAATTGGACTATAACAAAAGATATAAATTACTTGTCAATAGTTTATAAATAAATACCGTCTTGGATTGATTGTAATAATTTAATTTCACTGAATGAATTTGTGCTACTCTTTTATCCTTTTAGTTATTTGCTCAATGTGGACTTTTATCTTATTCTCCATAACTACATATTTAAGGTCATTAGTTATTGTACTTGTAAAATAAAATATTATGTTGAAGGGTCTCATATTAGTTAGTACTTATTTGGTAGGAATTTTGTTAATTGATTTTTTGACCGTTAGAGATAAATTTTATCCTATCTGTAACAGAAGAATTCAAAAATGATGACTGAAACAGTGAAATAACGATCAAAAAATTAATTTTAATTGAATTTTAAGCTATTCCAAACATGCTCTTAGTCACTTAATGCCTCTAAATTCTTGGGTCAGCCCTGCAACTTTTCTTCATATGAAAAGGAAATACATATTTGGCATAATTGAGCTCCTCTGTTCCATCGTAAAACCATTGTAGGCACCCACATTTAAGCACTCTACCCAAGATGCCACTAGAATTAAAAACAAGAATCCATTCAAGTTCGTTAAATCAGGTTTCAGATCTGAAATCTATTCACATCCAAAAGGAGTGGTGACGATGAAAACGATGGTAAAAGAAGGGGGCGTGCGAAAATCTTGGTGGAGATTCTAATAGAAGTAATTTATAATTACTTTATCTGTTCTGATGGAGACAATGGGTGGTGGTGGTGTGCTTGAGATTTGCAAGAAGGGAATGTTTAGGGTTTGCTGGTGTTTGGATATTGTTTGAAATGATGTAAGAAAAATAGGGTGTTTAAAAATTGGGATTTAGTTCAAATGGGGTGAATTTTGTTAAAGGTTTGATTAAATTTTATAATTATGATTAAGAATAAAAATTGGGTACATTAGAATTTTATTTTTTTAACAAAATTAAGTGTTTTGTATAATTAAACTATTTTAATTTAGACCATGTTTGATAGAAATTAAAATCAAGATTTTTATCAAAATCAAAATCAACAATTAATTTTAACTATATATTAAATGAGATTCAAAACTTTTCAACTACACATTTCATCAATTTTTTATTTTTATTTTTTTACATAATTTACTAAAAATCTAATTTTAATCTACATCAAATAAGTGCTGACTGGCCCAAAGAAAATCAAATTTAACTCCTAGATCTACTCTTAACAGACTTAACTAGAAAGGGCCCAGCCCAATAAATACTTGAATTGGTCAACGGACAATAGAGGAGGTAATTTGACGCCCAACTCAATTTATAGAGACTTGATGCCTATGGGGATAGCACATCAAATTTGAT